AAAAGGAGATTCAGTTAATGACCTCAGGAGATACAGCTTTGTTTACACACAAAAATTGGTCTCCACACACTTGTGCACAACCTTGGAAACACAGGCTCATTAGTCAGACAGAGTCTGCTCTAATTATTCTTCAAATTAACAGCTCTTTTGAGAATATGGCTCATTCCAGCTATTTGGTAACACACAGCTCAAAAGAAATTTATGGACCCTGACTTGGGATGCCTCATTTCAAACTTGTTAAACAGAATATTGCCCTTCTCATTGGGACATCATCTAAACATCACCAACCCTGAAAGAGCCCTGCTTCCTTTGGAGTTGCAGAAGGAACTAAATTTGGATCAAAGAAACAGATGGACCAAATTGGTTACTGCCTAAATCTATGAGCATGGAATAATGGTAATAACTAACATCTTTACTGAGTTAAAAAATCCTTATCAAGTATCTTATTTTTGTCATTCTTCAATACTAATAAATACACAGAAACCATGTGTTCATTCTGGTTATTTGTTGTTACCAATTATATAATAATTATCATGTAAATGAGATTCTGTAGTATTGGCCACCTGGAGCTAGGCTGAAAGTGTTAACATTGCCTCTCCCATGACTACTCATTTGGATGCATAGCAAAATACATAATTACATTTTCCTTCAAACACTGATAATCATTATGCTTATCAAGTATCAGAAGAGCAGGTAAAGGGCATCCATTGTACAAATGACAAAGTTTTCAATTCAAAATATAATATTAGTACACAAAATGACAAATATAAAATTTCAAGTTAAGGAAATTTATAGTACATAAAAATAGCAATATACAGCAACTCTAACATAAGAAATTCCAGTAACATAATTTTGTGACCTCAGAAACACAAACACACTTAAGTAATATGTCAAATTCTACAATTTTTGGATAATGGCCCAAGTCTACCCTCATACTCATTTATTTTTCAGTAGACTCATTCGATCCAGGAGCTCTTATGTTACAGATTACATGAGTAAATGAATATGGCAAATGGAAAAGACACATGAAAAGGTTGATGTTCCCACCCAGGGAAGCCTTGTAGCAGGAGCTTAGCTTTTCCCACAATGATATGTGATCATATACGTGAAATGTTGCCCACCCAGAAAGCTCATCAGAGCATTGACAGCAAGAGTTCTTACCAGGGTCAGTTATACAGCATCGAATGTGATTCATATCTTTAAGTCTTAGCTGACTGCACTCAAATTGCCCCATTATCCCCACAGAGAGAAAAACTTGGTGACTTGTATAGATCATACTGTTGCCATATTTTATAACCTTCCATATTTATCTGAAAATAGTCAAGCCACATTCAAATTCCTGAGTGTGTCATGATTTATTTTTTCTTTACTTGTTCCTTAAAATGAATCTGTATTGTTATCATTATTCTAAGAATAAAATATTTTAAATATGTAAAATATTCCTTACATACAATTCATATTTTCAAAAAAATATAAAATGAAATACTTTTAAAACTAAATTGGCAGCAAAAGTTTATCTAAAGTTACATAAGGCTGTACTTTTTTATAATTTATAAAATACAAACATCCAAATGTTTCAAATAAGATTTTATGAATATATGCACTTGAAGAGTGCTGTCCGAAATGCCAGTGGCAGTGTTATATAATACATATGACTTTTGCACAGAATTTCCTCTTAGTTGATTAGTTCTGAATTCTGTTTTCTCAATCCTTGAATGATTTTTGATCTTTAGAGAGATACAGTTTGGAGTGGCATTGTAAGTGAACCTTCAGTCTCACTGTCCAGATGAAGTACCTTCAATGCTTTCTTCATCTTTATAACTCATCTTTTCATATTTCTAAGCAATGCATTTATTTGTTTAATTTCCAGTTGTGAGCCATGACTACCATAATTACTAAATATTGAAACAGGTATGAGTTTTTCTTATTTCAAATCTTTTCTCTTTTATACTTCCAAAAAAGCTTTATAATGTAAAGCGTTTTTTATAAAGGAATTTTTGTACTTTGTGTCTTTATAATCAACATTTTACCATTGACACTTAGTTAAATGTTCCTATTATTCTAATTGTAATTTATGTGAAATAAATTATTACTTTTTTTTTGGCAGAACCAGGGATTGAACTCAGGCCCTTGTGCTTGCCAGGGAAGTGCTTATTCCACTGAGCCATCTCCCTGGCCCCAATTATTACTTATTTTTAACTGCTTTGTTTCTATGTAATTCTAATCAATTTAATCAAAATGTATTGCCCAGTCATTCATTGATGTCCTCTAAACTTAATCAATCACAGAGCTCATCCTTCAGTTTTGTTCCTCTTTGATGCCTTCATCTGTCTCCTGCAGTGGGGTTGCTTTTTTTTTTAGATCTTCAGGTCTTCAAACTGAAACTTACCAAGTTTAAGCAAACTTGGATTTTTCTTTTTTACTATTCCAGATTCCATATATTCTAATACCAACTAGTATGGTGCAATACCATTATACTAACTACCTGGAGCCAGCAGAAACCATTATTTCTAAAAGCAAAAGGCTGGATACATTTACCTTCTGAAGGAAATTTATTAGTTGAGAAAAGCAGAGGACCAACCTTGGGGCCAGTTCTCTTTCCAGCATGTCACTAACCACACTGCAGCCACAAAGCACATACTTCCATGTGAATTCTCTTCAATCCCTTGTCAGATAAACTGGTTTCCATAAAATGTTTGTAGTTCTCACACATGTTGTTATTTTCACATGTTTATTGAGGATCTGTAAGTTTTAAATCTATATGTGATAAGGTGGGGAACATTCTATTTACCAGAATGCCTCCTAAAGCACATATATTTGTTAGTGTGATTTCTTGTTGAGAACATTTAAAATAGAATCTGAATCATTTTTACACTTCAGTGTTAGATACTACTGACATTAAAAGAAGGTTATTAATCTACTGTTTGAGAAATAAAAAAATTCAAATACTTAAAGGGAGATGATACTTTAAAAGTTATGAGAGAGGAATGTATATAATTTAGAGGATGCAGGAGCTCACATACTCCATATTTTTTCGCTATCATTAAATTTACTAAAATTGATGATGTAACAGTTTGGAGCTTTGTGAATGCCCATATTTTGAATGAATTTAAAATGTCATGTGAAATGGCTACAGGTAAAATCATAGCTATTGGAGATAAGCCATATGTACAAATTGTAACAAATAAATATTTCTGCTAAGATTTTCACAGTAATCTTGCTTTAGTTTTGAGAATAGTATAGGCTCCAATAACATTTTAGGTTGCATACATGTGTGTGTTTGTGTGTGTGTACTGCTGCCAGACAGTTTCCCTCATTCTGTAATATTCTCCACAATCAATAAGAGAAATTGGTCTTGATAGAATTACTGAAACAAGGACAACATCTTACATACAAGTTACCAACCATGGTACTTGATTTTGCATCTCTACGAGATGAACAAAGACATATTAGTATAGATTTAATAACCTTTCATCTTTCCCTTAGGAGAATTTATGAGCTCCTACAATGTCATTTGATATCAAGCATACATCAAAAATAAAGCTGCTAAATAGGAATGTTCTGTGGGTTGCAGAAGGTGAAATTGATAGAATATTGGGGCCCATTCCAGGATATTTTAGGGTATGAGTGTAGTCTGTTTTCTCATAGAGAAAAGAGGCTTGCTTCTATAATTTTAGTGAAAAGACTCCTTTTTCCAATAAACACAATTGAATGAACAGTACAGATATTATGGCACACACATACTTTTCCCAGTGAATTTCTTCTGTTCACCAAACTTGTACTCAGATAAGCTGAAGCTAATCCCACTCAACCTGTTACTTATGATTTTAATTTTCTAATGTGGTCCTTCCAGTTTGTTAGTTTCTATTAATACCTAATAAGCCTACCAAATTCTAGGTCACTGAATTAAGAACCATATGTGATTCTAAAACATAGAATAAAGTGTAAATATTGTACCATAAATTATATGTATATCTTAAAATTATGAAATAGTTTCATTCTTTTAGTTAACTTGATTCCTTTTCCCCTTTCATTAATTTGTTCTCACATCAAAATACTTTCTTCTTGAATTTGTTCTCATATCAAGATCTTCCTCACAAAAATATTGGATTGGCACCAAATAACAAGTTGCTGAAGTGACTAGTAAGGTAAATCTCTCTATTGTTATTTCTCCTGTTGGATGTTTTAAATATTTTTTTAAATTTATTTTTATGGCTTTCTTTCTGGTTGTCATAGAAGTGATACATACACACAATTATGGGATATAGTCATATATATATATATATATATGAATATGGATATAGTCATATATGTGTATATGGATATAGTCATATATATAGTAAATATAGCTACAAATACATATTAATGTAAATTTACATACATATTCTTGCTCTTTGTGAAGAAAAATGATTGCAATTTTTGTAATACAAATCAGTCCTTTTATCATCCCCTAATAGCTGAGGAAGCATAAGAGTTGGAAAACTGGGACCTCATAGTCTCTCAGGATTTCGAACATCACATCTTAGTTTCAAACCCACAAAGTGCTACTATGTTAAGAAACATAAAAAAAACCATCAACTTTATATGTGCTTCAATCAAAGACATAATTACCAATTCTTATTGAAAGAAACTTTATTGTTATGTAACCAGTGAAAGTAGATGGAAAGTATTTTCAAAGTGGCGTTATAATGAAATATTTTCTAGAGCCTTTTCATTCCTTATTGTAGGACCTCATTCATTATAAGAGATTTTTATTATGCAATTTTTTTCTCAATACATATGAGTACAATGTATATATGCAAAATTAAATGAGAAAGTGTGTATGTATAGAATTATGTATGTATATTACATAAGTATTTGTTATTATATAGTCATACTCAGCCAGTTTGTTTGCACACATTTCAAATACATTGAATTTTTTCAAGCACATTTTGAAAAATGGAAATGAGCAAACTATGGTCAGCTCTCACTCTGACTTCCATCTCCATGGAAGATATGTGTATGTATACAAAACAGTAATCTAGAGACATTTCTGTAGTTTGTGGCACTACATGGCTTTCTTACCCTGTGGAGGCCTAGCACACTTCAACAGCCTATACTCCTAGGATAGCATAGTGTATTCTTTGACCTACTGACTTCATCAGGCTTTATCAACAGAACCATGAGGTTTCTTTTCAGCAACCTTACAAAAGTTGAATGAGTAACTAGGGAGGCAAAATTTCACTAATGAGCATTTCACCCTCACTCTTGTCACCTGCTGTCCCTGAGATGCACAACTTTATTACATATCCTCAGTGGCTAGGTCTTCCTTAGCAGTCACTTTCATATACTTCATGTTTTCATGTAACAATCAATATTTTATCCCTTAAAAATTTTTGATGTCATTTGATATTTTTTATTGTATGGGAGACATAGAATCATTAAATAATCGATTTATTTAACATTGGATTGCTTATTTATTTTGGATTGCACCCAGGGTTGCTGTATGCTAGGTAAGTACTCTACCATCTGTTTCTTGCAATCAGTCCTCCTTCAAGTCACACTATGACCCCTGTCTTCTTTTTTTTCCCTGGAAATTTGTTTAGGAACCTCTATATAACTGTAGATGTTTGACTCACACTGTTAGTGCATTCAGAACTGTCAGGAATTACTAACTAAAAGCAGATAAAATGGCAACATATTAGGATTTGGCAAAGTTGGGGTGATATTATAGAATCTTCATGTCAGGTCCCAGGTAATGTTTTTTTTTAAACCTAAGCTACATTTTTAAAATGAATGCTCTGGCTTTTTGCAACCAAATGTACCCAAAATTACAGATATTTTTCTTAGTTGCTGACAAGATGAATGCACTGGGTCCCTACTATAAATAGTTCCCAAACAGGTACTGCATATTTTACAATTGATATTACCTATTTATACTTTATTACCCGAAATTCAAAATTTATTTCAGAAATCACTCCGGTGATGTGCATTCTATGTGTTTATGTAAATGGCTAATGGGAGATGCTATAATTACATTACCATGTAGAATATTTCAGTGCCTTCAAATATCTATCATAAGTGTTCCTTCTATCCATCTTTTCTTCCACTTCAAATTCTGATAATTTCTTTTTTTTTTTTTTGGTAGAACAGTTTCAATAATTAACACATTGCATACATTCCTCC